TCGATATGAGACTTGAACTTATGAATTTCTATCGAATCACTTGATCACTTAGAGATGGTTTTTTTTTATCGTTCTTTTACTTTCTCTTAATCCAACACTATAAATTCGTCGATGCCAACTCTAGAGAATCACCGGAGACGTCTAAATCTTAAAATTGTCCAATAAATGTATATTCAATTGGTTAATTATTGAAATGTATGACTCCACGGAAATTGACTTTCAAGATCAATTTTAGATTATAGTAGTGGGACATGGACATCCGCACAAAAACACAAGCGAAATTCCAAGTTGTTCCACAAAGTAAAGAAACATAAGAGAACTTTTGCATCACTAAAATTTCAACTCCATCTTTTAAATTCCGTCCATTATAAATGTGAATGATTTACACGTCAAATTCACTTAGTGTCTTAGTCAACAAGTGAATTTCACTGATGTAAGTGCATTGATAACCAAAAAAAAAAAATATTTGATAATTTTAATCGAATTTTTTTGTATTTTCATACATAAAACCGTTTGGGTTCACTCTTACCGCTTTGTTACTCATGGGTGGGTTAATTTCATATATTTATTTACTTAGACGTACAATAGTTTTATGTTGTATGAATATAATATTATACTAATATTTTGAATCATGAAATCATGGAATTTGAAAATGATTCTCAAAAGCTAAAGATAAATGAAAATTTTAATTTAATTTAATCGGGAAAAATATTTATTTATTTTTCAAATTTACATTAATTTTTGAAATTTGTCACATCTATTTCTCATAAAGAAAAAGTTGAATTTAAATTCAACATCAAGTCGGCCCACATCAATCCTACCAAATATATTTCAATAATTGAAAAATTGAAAAAAAAAAATCTAAAGTGAATACAACTAAAAGTAATTAGTTGGTGGGTAATAATTATTAATTTTTTAATTAAATTAGTAATCACATATTATTCACAACCACTATTAAAAGTTAATGAACAGTATATTGAAAAATACTTCCATTTAAAATTTTTACACTTATTTTCACTTCTTTGTATTATTATGTTGATGTCTTCTATCTATCAACTTAGCCCTATATTTAATAAATTATAGAAAAAATAATTAAGATATTAAAAAATCATATAATTAATTCAATAAAATCATATTCAAATATTTTAAATACTAATAGTATGTATAATTTGTCAAATAAGTGACAAAATTATATTGATTTGACTAAAAAAAACCAGATGTTACTTACACGTGGATAGTCTAGCTGTAAGAGCGATCAAGGGGAGCCCAAATGGATAGAACCTATAGTCCCAAGTTTGATTTCCCGTTGAGTGTTAAAGATAATATCTTTGCCCATGATTTGTCTAAGCGGCCTTGATAGTGGGATAGCTTTCCCTGAGAATTAGTCGAGGAGATGCATGTAAGCTAGTTTGAACACCTTAGTTATAAAAAATAAAAAAATAAAAAAACTTGCATAACAAGTATAGAACAGCTCAAAAACTATATAATAATTTTTGGTCTTATCAATTTTAAGAGCAGGAAGGTGGGTGTACTGTAATCTTAATTAGTCGGTGAAGATAGAGGATTTGGCTGCCTTAATACAATTTCTGTGTCCGGTTGGTTCATTATTCTGATACTTTCTAGAATAAAATTTTGAGAAAAGTAAAATTGGGTGGGTATTACGATATAGGATTTGGAAATAAACAAAAATATCCCCCTATGTTTGTTTGTTTACTAAACACCCCTATAATAAAATATTAAAAATTAACAAAAACACCCCCAACCCACCCATTAAATATGGATAGCCGGCTATCACTGTCAAAGTCACTGTATCGGCACATAACTGGCTAGATCTGACTGATCGTGCGCCGATATGGCCATTGACGGCCAGATCTTGTCGCATTTGGTTATCAATGACGGCCAAAGATACGGCCGTAGTTGATAGTCAACGATGGCCATATCTTGGCCGTTCGTTGGTGACTAGTTACGGCCAAATATCTGGCTATTGACAGCCAAATTTTTGGTCGTAGATCTGACATTTTTTGACCAGATCCACTGTGGATCTGGTTGGAAAAGGCTAGATCGGTGCACTACTGAACAGATTCAGTCAGTAGTGCGCTATTATACCAAATTCTGACCAGCTTCTGACAGTGGTGGCCAGAATCTGATAAATGTGGGTTACTGGGTGTTTTTGTTAATTTTTAAAACTTTTTTTGGGGGTGTTTTGTTAAATTAATAAATTTAGGGGGTTTAAAAAATTAAATAATATAAAATAATATTTTGAGAATAAGAGAATAAATATATATTTTGGATAGAATATGGAATAGAATACTAAAAAATTCTCTACCAACCGGAGCCTAATTAACCTAATTATCATTACTTTAATCTAATTGCTAAAATGGACTGTTTTAAACAACTAACTCACTTTCCCGGTATTATTTGCGCTCCCACTTTTCTCTCTCTCTTCTTTTTGGGCATTAATCGATAATCATGTACAACTTTTGATTAACAATTACTTAAAATTAATTATTTAGTTAAAAGCATCTTTCAGCTTATTAATTAATATTTATAGAACTTTGTCTCTAGTATTTTATGTTGTTTTTGTATTTAATTAGAATAACTTTTGTGTACTTGAATAACTTTTCTTTTATTTAAAAACTCAAATTATTTTCAAGTTTTATCAAATACTTCGTTTAGTCTATACGATTTTTTCTTCAATGTATATTTTCAATATATTAGGAATATTATAATACCCATTATAGAATCCAATATTTAATAATAATATTAAAATTTTCCATTATTTTGCTTCATCTACAATATTTATTTAAAATAACGAGTAATTGTTTAAAATTATAGAAATAGTTGAATATTATTAGAAACATAATTCAATTTTTTTTCCCCCAAAACTTAGAATTAAGTGAAATTTAGCTAATTTTTGTCTATTTTCTTATTTCTTATTTCTTTTTCCTTTTTTTTTTTTTTTTTTCCTAGAAACCCAGGTGTCACCCGAGGATCCACACAGGAATGTCTTTCGTTGCCCACACAGGTACGTACTCCAAAGTACTGTCCCCCCCCTTAAGAGATTCTTTCGCCTCCTCCATGGCTCGACCCTACCCAAGGGCTATAGGCAAATGGGAAGCACCATAGTACCATCAGGCTAGCTCTTGGGCATGGGTTCGAGCCATGGGGGAGGCGAAAGAAATTCTTAAGGGGGGGACAGTACTTTGTGAGTCACGTACCTGTGTGGCACCGGGAGACATTCCTGTGTGGATCCTCGGCGTGACACAAGGTGTCTAGTTTTAGGCAAACCCACCACCGCATTCTCCCAATTAAAACGCATACACTTAAATGGGGAATCACATGAACTGTGTGCACCTATCCACATATTCCCAATTTGTCATAACCATCTGGGTTACTCACGAATAGATATAGAAATAGTTAAAATTTTAAAAACACACTTTAATATTTAAAATAACCAGTCTATTTCTTAATTCTTTTAAAGAATAAACTAGGCACCTCAAAGTTTTCTATTTTTAAAATTTTTAAAGAAATCCATGTGATATATTTTAAAATTTGGTAATCTATATGCAAAAGTGTATTGATACATTATCCACTTGGTGGTTATCCAGATGTCTTGTGTTCGAGTCCCACAAAATAATCATTCGCCATATTGTGATTTACTTGACTCATTGGACTTATAGAGGGTTCAATAACCTCGATGATTTTGAAATGCGGGAAAGTTGGTTCGACACCCCCAGTAAAAAAAAAAAATGTTGATTGGTTTCTTACTTTATTAGTGAAATAATTACAAATTAACATTCTTAAATGTTAAGTTTAATCGTGTGGGCACCACTTCCATTGAATTGTAGAAACTAAACATTTTTATTTCTCTCCTCTTTTAAAAAAAATAAATATAAACAATAATTTCTGATTTTTACAAGGAAAAAGAAATAGAAAATAACAAGAACCAAACAGCCTTATTATCAGATTTTGATTTTTTGCAAGTAAAATAAAATCATTAAATTTAACAAACCCCCCCCCCCCCAAAAAAAAAAAAACTTTGAAAGAAGGTACAACGTGTGCGCCATAAGATTTTGTCACAACCAGATTCCATATAATTTGCCACTGCTATTATTCTATACGGTACACGTGTCGTTCCGCTAATAAGTGGACACCTGGTTACATATGTCACACTTTTTTTGTTGTAAAAGTGAACCCCTCTTGAAATTTGCAAACCTCTTAGAAGTAATTCTCTAACCACACGCAAGACATCCATGTTCTTCTTATTTTTATGTTTCATTTCAATCTCCTTTTGTTTTTTTTTTTTTTTTTTTTTTTTTCAATTTTGTTTCTACTTTTTTTCACACATAACTTTTTAGTTTATCATTTTTCAAAATATTGTTGATAAACAATCACCACGCGCTTGTTTTATTAACCGAATATGGCTTCGTCACCTTATAAACTTTATTTATGTAGAATTGACAACAATTTCAATCAACTTTCTTTTTGTCAATAAATCCTAGACGTCTCTCGTTTCCTTAATTTATTGTTTCTACTATCTTCTCACATCGTAGGTTATCTCAAACACTACAAGCTTTGAGAAATGAGAACTAAAGCTTTGGTGTATGATATAAAACTCGATCATAATAAGGGATGAAACACATATATCATAATACGGAGGTGAAATAATTAGAGAAAAATAAAAAAAACTATTTTTTTTTTTAATTTTCATAAATATAGTTATGATATCATTAAATCTCACATAAAAATGTTCAACAAACAATCCTCATTTAGGAAAAGGATGAGGTAATCATCAATTTTAACTAACGAAATTAATCCTGTAGATTACCCTACCCTGGAAAATAATATGGAGCTTAATGCAAAATAAATAAATAAATATTAATTAATTAATTATGTAAATTTATCTCTGTTTGTGGAGCCCACGGCTGGGCAAATGCATTGCTGTCTTTTTGAGGCATGGCTTTGTTGGCTTTTCTTTTATAAGACTTTTATCTGCCGAGAAAAACAAAAGACCAAAGCCGAAGGCAAAAAGAAAGAGAGAAAGAAAGAGAGAGAGAGTTTCCGTTTGTTTAATCACACACTCATTGACAACTCTTTTCATTCATTTTATCTTTATCTTCTTCTTCTTCTTCTTCTTATATCTTCTCTTTTTATTTCTTGGTTTTGGATTTTATTTAATCAATTTATTTAAACATTTATAGAAAGAAAGGAAAATCCAGAAGCTGAAGTAACCAGAAGCGCGCCTGTTATTTACAGTTTTGATTTGATTGATCTATAGATCTAACGGTTTCAATTCCACATGTTCGTTTAGATCTTCGTCGTTATCATCTGTTTTGATTCAGTAGCCGAACAGAGAGATTGCACAGATAGCTGAATTTGTGTTGTAAGTGTTTTTACTTTCATGTTTTGGTTTTTATTGTCGTTTTATTGGTTCTGTGATTGATTTTTTATTATTAATTTACGCATGTATGGATATTGAATTTTTTAGTGTAGGATTAAAAGTGGAATGTAGAGATAGATTTGACTCTTGCTGTTTTTGCCAGAACTGTTTTGGTTGGTTCTGTCGTTTTGTTAACTTTAGAGTTCCAAAGTCAGAGGTTGCATAAGGGACTTGTGTCTTTTGTCTGTTTTAGGTACAACTGCATAAGGGTTTTAGATTTTAGGAACTTGATTGGTTCTTATCATTCATTATGATAGTTATTTGGAACTTAGCTTGATTGTTTTCATTATTGTTTTGATTCAATTGGATTGTATGTTTTGAATATTTGGTTTGGATTAATTTTTTTTTTTTTTGTAGAATATTTATATGATGATATTGCTTGTTATGCAGGAGAGGGTGTGTTGAATTGGTACAAGTGATATTACAATTGTGTATTGCATCCGATTCTGGATGTGGAGGCATTGGAGGCTGTTGGCCCGGGTGAGATGAGGGATGTTATCAAGATTGATGAACTTCCTGAGGGCCTGCTGGCGGCCGTCCTCGGACCGATATGTCCACATTAGTACGGATTCAGCAGGCCGGCAAGATGGGCTCCTTTGGTACAAAGACACTGGACAGCATGTGAATGGTGAATTCTCTATAGCAGTTGTTCAGGCCAACAATTTGCTTGAGGACCAGAGCCAGGTTGAGTCTGGCCCCTTGAGTTCGCTTGAATCTGGTCCTTATGGTACTTTTGTTGGTATATATGATGGTCATGGTGGGCCAGAGACCTCTCGTTTCATCAATGATCACCTATTCCAGCATCTAAAGAGTAAGAAACAATGACCTTAGAGAATTTAAACCCGGTGCAAGTTTCTGTCTTTGGAGAATTTAATAACTGTTATGTTTATGTTTTAAAGTTTGGAGGTTGAAGTGAGTTCTTGGCCTTGACATGGTTATTTTACAGGGTTCACAGCAGAGCAACAATCCATGTCTGTGGATGTAATACGTAAAGCTTATCAAGCTACGGAGGATGGATTTTTCTCCGTTGTTACTAGACAATGGCCTATGAAGCCGCAGATAGCAGCTGTTGGATCTTGCTGCCTGGTTGGTGTGGTCTGTGGTGGAACCCTATATATCGCTAACCTTGGTGATTCTCGTGCTGTGCTGGGGAGGCTTGTAAGGGCAACTGGGGAAGTTCTTGCCATCCAGCTTTCATCAGAGCATAATGTGGGAATAGAGTCTGTCAGACGAGAGATGCATTCTTCGCATCCGGAAGACTCACAGATTGTAGTTTTGAAGCACAATGTGTGGCGTGTAAAGGGCCTCATACAGGTAAGTTTCATGTGTGGAAAACCATGATCAATGCTCTATATGAAGTCAACCCAAAAATCTTGTGTTTTAGATATTTTATACCTCTATTAGGTTAATTTTATATTGAAGTCTTATTACTTGATTGCACTAAATTGATTGAAATCATAAATGCTAAACTAAAACTAATTGAAACTTTTGGACCTTGGATCAAGTCGTGGTGCAGGTGCACTGCCTGCTTCCCATGTCGTTTTTGGACTTATATTTGAAAATACGGTTATATACTATATCTAAATCTGTGAAAAGATAAACTAAAACTAATTGAAAGTTTTGGACAGTGGATCAAGTCGTTGTGCACTGCCTGCTTCCCATGCCCTAAATCTGTGAAAAATTTTAGCTAAATAGTTCTGGGTGGTTTGGTCTATGGGCTATGGTATTCTTCAGGGGAGCATGTTCTAAGGGCTTTGCTATGTTGTTTTCTTGCTGAATATTCATTGACCCTAATCACGTTAATCCATGAACAAATTGGGCAGGGGTAAGTGCTTAGGCTGGCCCAGTTATCTGATTAAGTATGCTATGGTGGGCTTACTTTTCATAGGATGTAGATTTTAGTGAAAAAGTTGTAAGGTGTCAATATTATTGGTTTTTGTCGTGAACCTATTTTTTACATAGCCTCCTATTTTGGACAGCTGGATCTCAATATTGGTCAAGCTGTCTTGTCCAGTGCACTGTTTGGTTAATGTGAAAAAAGACAAAAACCAAAGGACAAAAACCAAAGGAGGGGACAGAGGCTATGCTCCTTTAGTTGTTGGGTTAAAAAAGTTATCACCTTCTCAGCTTGAGCAAAATTTCAATTTCCCTTCACTTTTTGCTGTCCTTTTTCTGTGTCCTTCTGCACTATTCATTAGTAAGCCATACTGGAGCAAATACCAACCAATTGAATCCCTACCCATAGTACACCTTAATTCAGGGTCAAAATTTTCAGATACAAAAGGAGGAACCTTAGGACTTAATAAATCGTACAAGGACCGTTTGATTAAAAAAAATTGAAGTGGAGGAAATATGCATGTTTCAATGGTAATTGCTGACTTTAAAAAGAGCATATGATTAGAAAACATAGGGGTATCAAGATGATAAATTTCTTGGTTAAAGGCCTTCAATAGGAGCGAGGACTAATTTGAGAATGATTGTAGGTGTTAATTTTTTATGCATTCACTAGTCTTTTATTTATTTCTCCTAGTTTCAAACACAAACATTTTAAGGTATGAGTACATCCTTGTCACACCATTAAGGACCAAGATGACAAATAAAAGCTATTATGACCTTCATGGTGTAAAATGACTAGAAGTTCACTTTAAGAGAGTGAATTTATACATAGTCTAGGATTGATACTTGAAGGGGTGGAAAATTGGAATGGGAATGTGAGATGAAGATTACTTACATAGTATGATTGTGGAACTATCCTTTTCATATATTATTGAAATCACTGTAAATTACTTTGTAATCAGCTTTTATATATAGCATGTTCTGTTGTTCATACTGATTATGAGTTCTGAAATTTACTTGGTTCTTTTGTCTTGCAGGTTTCTAGATCTATCGGTGACGTATATTTGAAAAAGGCTGAATATAACAAGGAACCTTTGTACGCAAAGTTCCGCCTTCGTGAACCTTTTAAGAAGCCAATTTTAAGCTCGGAGCCTTCAATTTCTGTGCTTGAACTTCAACCTCATGATCAGTTTGTCATATTTGCTTCTGATGGACTGTGGGAGCATCTTACCAATCAGGAAGCAGTTGATATAGTTCAGAATCACCCACGATTCGTAAGTTATTCTGCCTTCACATTGATTTGCACCATGACAATTTTGATGTAGTTAATGCTTTACATTAAACTGATCATTTACATGGATGTTTAATAATTACTCTCTATACATGTGCCCCTTTGTATCTTGCTGTCACATGTAAATTATGTTGTGGAAAAGTAACTCACATGCTAATTAAGATAAAATACTCCTATTTGTATGTTTACCTGTTTGTGTCTACATATACATTTGCTACTAACACAAATTATGGGATGTGATTGAATTGTAATTTAGTAAAGTAAATTATGAAAATTAAGTAGTTGTTGCATTGTTGTGTTGTTGATCAGGGGAGTGCTAGGAGGCTTGTGAAAGCAGCGTTACAGGAAGCAGCCAAAAAGAGAGAAATGAGATACTCAGATTTGAAGAAGATAGATCGTGGGGTCCGCAGGCATTTCCATGATGACATTACAGTGATAGTTGTATTTCTTGACACACATTTAGTGAGCAGATCTAGCTCAATGAGAGGCCCTTGTTCATCTGTGAGAGGTGGTGGTGTTAGTCTGCCTGCTAAAACACTGGCCCCCTGTGCCACACCCACAACAATGGAACAACTTAACACTACCACGCAACTTAACACTACCTAGTTACAGACTATGCCAAAAAAAGAGGTAGAGCGTGCACTTTTTTTTCTTTTTTTTTTTTTTAATTTATAATTTTTTAATGTAAAATGAAACAAGTTAAGTTTATAAGACTTGTTGTATCTTTATTATTTAGCTTCTAATATCACTATCCATCAAGAAAAGAGGAAAGAATCAAGCAAGGTAAAAGAGCTGTTTGGTGCTGCTGCCTCCGCTGCAAAGGGTGACGTTACAGATTCTTTCTTATTACACTTCCTCTACGCATTCTTCTCTTTTTTGTATTTTTATTTTATTTTTAATCTTTGGAGCTTTTGGGTTTTGTAAATTATTATGTGGGTTAGAGAACATTATCACCTATAAATCAAAGCTTCTGCATCTTTTGTTCTTTATCCTGTTGTCCCTCTATTATATTTACATAGACTGGCTACTAAAAATTTCTGTGTCATTTACCTCTTTAAAATTGTCCTTTTTGTTTTTATTATTTTGCCACACAGAGCCTTGGAAATGATAAGATATGATATATGCATTTCATGTTAATGGAATTAGTGAAGCAAACAAGCAACTAGTCCTACTAACTTCTAACTTTCTTGGAAAGTTTTTCAATAGTTTTCTTATATACTTTCTCTTAGTCTTGAAGTGGTTTGCAATTAGTTAGTAGGATTTGTGAACTTTCTCTCAATCCTGACGTGGTTTGCAGTTAGTTAATGAGATTCATGTGGGATTTGTGTGGGACTCATTATGAACTCATTGATTGCGAGTTATTATATTAGGGTCGTGAATAATGGCTGTTTGTGTAATATTATTGAATATAACTCACAGCTCCATAGTTTTTAGTCTACGAAATTTTGCTTTTCTTTTCATTAAGTTTTTTTTATCTGGGGAATACAAAGATCTTGATTAGACCCTTCCACACAGAAAGAAGTTCCCCCAACATCACAGTGCTTTTAAACACAAAACGAGGGGAGTTTAATTACATGAATACAATAGACAAGTTTAATTTCCTCTTGGCTGCCATTGGAGGGCTCTCTTTAGGCAAACTTTCACTTCAATGTTTTGTTTTGTTTAAATAAAAGATTGTCAAATCCTCTGTGGTCAAACTTGAAATCAAATAAAAAGCTCATTAGATTCAAGGAGTTTTTTATTTACAGTAAAGTGACTCTACTCTCCTAGTTTTCATTCCGGATTAGGCTGCCAGGGGGGGGTTGGTTTATACCCAGAAGAAATTTTGCTTCCTCTAGCTGTTAAAAGTTAAACTTTACAGAGGACAACAATACTCAAATGTTCTGCCATTTTAGCTATGTTGAGTTAAATCAAAACTGATACATCTTTGCTTGTTTGAGAGGAAAAACTCAAGTAACCAGAATCACTCATGAAAAACTGACTGTTTTGTTAACCCATTTGTAATGCTAATAGTTAGTTTTCAGCTAACATGAACAAGGGCAGTAACTAAATGGGCACAAGGTTAGCATTCCCGAGAAGCATTTGTAGTAAACTAGCTGGCTGCTTTTTGTTCACCAGGCATAAGCACTTTCACATTAACCCACAAGAGAGAGAGAGTGAGCCCAGTTGGCCTCTCTAATTTGGTGCTTAACTATCACTTCAGCAAATTTATTGTACCCTTTCGGAAGCACAATTCCCAACAGTAGCAAGTTCTACTCTCCAACACACAAAGAAAGAACGAAAAAAAGTGGACATGAATGATTCTCACTTGTCAAAATCATATCTCAACCAATCTCCTGCTGCAACGCTACTAATCCTGTGTTTTCGTATTGGTTCAATAGAGTTATGTCATGATGAAGGTTAAAGTCTTGTCTTGTGGCTCTCTACCTCTTGGCCTATATAGCAAATCCATCCAGATTCATAAGTACTGCAAACTCCCTGATCTCTGTGGCTTACATTTTCAAAAGTAAAACAGAGATGGGAGTTAATGTTTTTTTCTTCCCTGAGGTTTGGAGAAAGTATCAAGTTCATCCAGTAAAATCGAAAAATGTCAGAATAGTCCCTGTCAGACAACTAACGTCGTGGCCGCACTGTAAAGCCTTTTCGCAGCACCACCACCACGCCTCTCTGCCCTCAGAGGTATTTGCTATTGTAAGTGTTGATTTCATTATTTTATAAGTTGGGTGTTTTGATATTGGACATTGGCTTGAGGCGTTGGTGGTGGTGATACCTTGTTTTGCTTTTGTTGGTGGCATTGCGGTGGCTGTTAATTTTAGTAATGGTGAGTTAGTGGCGAGGCTTTGGTGGGTGGGGCGGGGAGCTTGCAGATATTTTGGGTAGAGCTGGAATACCTTGGTTGTTGCTTTCGGTGTGGCCTTGGTCGTTGCGGTAGGATAACTGGTAGATAAGACCATCTCCAACCCATTGCCCTAAATTGATGCAAGTTTCATACTAAATCAGTATGGTTTTTGCTGTAAAATACGACTGCATCTCCAACCCACTCACAAAATACTACACCATAACAAAATTCTTTTTCTCTTTTTTATTATAATTATTTTTTCATATATTAATTAAATATTAAGAATTATATTTTTATTAAATAATAATTACTTTAAAAATTATACCAATTTAATAAAATTAAGCATTTTATTTAATCAAATATTAGTTGAATTATTTGGAAGTTGATTTGGTGTGAGTTTTTATAGTTAAAGAAAATACCACTCTAGATAAAAAATAATAATTCAAAAAGATGTATTATCCATTCAAGTTTTTGAGATTTATGGCTTATCTATTCAAGTTTTTAAGATTTGTGGTTTATTAAAAAATATATATTGCCCATTAAAGTTTTTGAGATTTGTGGTTTATTTTAAAAGATGTATTGTTAATTCAAGCTCAAAAAAATGTATTGTCCATTTAAGCTTTCAATTCAAACTTATGTTATAAAAGAGCATATAACACATTAGTTTTGAACACATCTCTTCTATTTCCTCTTTGAAAAAAAAAGCGTATATCATCTTTATTTGTATTACAAAATGACTACACAACGAAGTTCTTCATATACAAATAAAAAAGACATGCATCTATGTCATATTTATCTTGATATTTCTCAAAACCCGATTTTAGGTATAAACCAATCTAGTGATCAATTGTGTTACAAAATTTAAATAACAATATATATATATATATATTTTACTGTTTGAATAATACTAAACCAAATTAGTATACATAAATAGCACTACACCAAATTTAGTGTGAACTGTAGCAGGACAGCAAATGGCGCTGGGTTGGAGTTGAAATCTGCGTTATTTTTGGTGCCCTGAGGATGAGGTGGTGGCTGCTCGCTATTTTTTTTTTAATTTATAAGACTTATTTATTGTTAAAAGACAAAAAGACCATTTTGCTGTTTAATAATAGGTAACGTCAAATGTGTGACAGGGACTATTGTGACATTTTCTGATTTCACTGGATGAATTTAAAATTTTCTCCAAACCTCAAAGGACGAAAATGTCATTAACTGTGAAGAGGCTTTTGTTCCTGTCACCAGAGAGGCCACTGTCTAGCTTGTAGCAGTTTTAGTCATTTGTCAATTCCTCAGTGTACTAACTACTAAATGATCATTTCAATCCATTGAGTTAAGTAAAAGAGTATGGATAAGAGAACTCACCTGCATTATTATTTTGATGAGTAAACAGCTTTTTCCCATCAAGGGTTGTCTTAACGACACTATTTCACCAAAACAGAAAAAAAAAAAAAAATTTAAAATACCTTTTTTTCATACAAAATTTATATTCTGTTAATACTTAAAATACACTTTGGGTCGTTTGTTTTGTTATTTTGGATAAGATTTTGAAAATAATATTGGATAGTTGAATAAGGTGAGTATTACAAGGTAAAATTTAAAAATTCACAAAAAACCCCTTAGGTTTGCTAATTTAACTAAACACTCCAATATATAAATTTTTTATAAAATGACAAAAACACTCTCATCCACCCACAGTGCTAGACTCCGACCAGAAAATGGCTTTACGACGCAGACCGGTCAGATTTGGCTGATCGTGCGTCGATATGGCCTTTTCCGACAAGTTTCACCACTGATATGGCTGGAAAAGGCCAGATCTACGGCAAGATATAGCCTTTGACGGTTGTAAAAAAGCTAGATTGACTGCCAGATCGACGAATTACAGGCCATTTCTGATTATTTCTACGCCATTGTGACAGATTTCGATAACCACCGATGATGCTTGTCAGAATCTGGCAACTATAGGTAGGTGGGGGTGTTTTTACTAATTTTTAAACTTTTTTTTTTTCACGAGGTGTTTAATTAAATTAAAAAACTTAAGGGATTTAAAAGTAATTAAAAAATAGAATAGTATTTCTCAAATAATAAAATAAATAAGTATTTTGGGAATATGATTGAGAATATGGATAGAAATAACAAAACAAATGGAGCCTTCACTTTCTCAACTGGCGTTCGATGAATTACTAGGAGCGAAGGTAAGAAATGTCTTGTAGAGAAAAGACTAAAAATTCAAATATTAATGATAAAGAGAATTTTTATTGTCACAATCAGTGTTGGGTATCAACGAAAATATGAACTTTGGTTAGGAAAATAATACTTCTAAGCTTTTTGGGTGAGAAATTGTCATTAAGGCAAACCTTGAGTGGGAAAAAGTCGTTTACTCTTATTTTGATTAACCATTTTCTTTCTGTACTTCCATTCCACCATAACCTTGATTGACTGTTTAATAATAACCCTACTTGCTTTCAGCCACCCCCTGAATCAACAAGAATCCTATTCTCTGGCTAAGGTTTGTGGTGTCTTTCAATGAAAAGATTAGGCCACCTTTCAAGTGATCAAGTGATGATGACAGTAAAAACTATAATTATGAGTATTAATTAAGCCAATCCCCTGCTAAATCTCACATTAAAATAGGTCTCTTCTTTACTTCCCTTGGAAAAACCACCAGGGTTCAAATCCATTTCAAGTAGCTTTGTTTTCCTTGCATATATCAGTTAAGCGCGTGGTGATTTTGAGTCCATATGATTTAGAAGAGTTTGAGAAATCAGTAAGGCAGTGATTTCACCACCATGAAGAGCGTGTAGAAAGTTTTACTGTACATGGGGTTGATAAACAAACAAAGCTAGGCACAGCTTTGGTCTATCCTCTTTCATATCAGTCACTGGCTCACCAAGCTAAAATCTCTGCTAAACCTTACAAAATCTCTCCATATTTGGCAATGAAGTAAATGGGTGCCCTGAGTTTAGGCCAGAGATGCGAAAATGAGAGAAAAGTAATTCATTTGAATGTTGAAATCTTATTCCAAGTGTTGTTTTTGGTTTCAAAGACTAATGTCTGATTTGAGAGTATTATTAGTCTCATTTTCTGACCAAGACAGTTTGTTTTATGCAAAAACTTTGTCAATTAAACACCTTAATCCAAAACCAACCCCAATTTTTAGACAGACCCTAGTCTCTACTACTTTATCAGTTATATATATGAATTATGAGGTGATTGTGTCAAAAAGACTACAACTTTTTCATGAGCAGTACCTTTGGCTTTGTCTTTTCTGCCAGTGTACCACAGCTTCATTTCCTCTATTTCTCTTCTTCTTCAAAACCCTTGTTTCAAAACTACAATTTCTGCCATAAAAAGTCTTATTTTTTTTTATGGGTTGTAATGTTGTATGCCTTCTTATAAGATGAAAAACAACAATGTCGTTTCACAGTTCAAACATAGAAAGAACTTGCTGAAACTGACCCTCGAAACGAGGGATGCATTGGCAAATGCACAGTGCAGGTACAATCTGTGTATACTTGCGGTTGCTAAATCCTTAAGGTTGATTACCTCTAGAAATTCATCTCCTTCCTGTGACCTCACAAGTTATCCTTTCCTTGAGTCCCATGAAACAACTGATAATCATAATATAAAAACAATGTCCCGTAAGCAAACACGAATTGAAAGCAACCTTGAAGCCTCTACTTCTTCTTCTTCTTCTCAACCTTCTAAACCTAAACGTTCTTCGTTCTCTTTTAGAAAGGACAAACGAAAACAAGCCTCTTCTTATTCTTCTCAACCTTCTAAACCTACATGTCCTTCGTCCTCTTCTAGAAAGGACAAAGGAAAAAAAAAATTACACCGAGAGAATGACCTGAAATTTGAAACCATACTTGAAGAAAATGGAGAAGGCGAGGATGCTGATGATGATGAGATGGCACAGGCACAAGCTAAGCCTCCGCCAGAGCCACCACTTGAAAGAGATGATGTGCCTGGATGGGATTTTTTTCGTCCCTATGATGGGTTGAAAGCTGAGAGGGAGAGTGATGTTTCTCAAAGCAATGATGAGGATCATCTTAGGATGGTGAGAACAGAAGAGAGGATTCCTGAGCTAGAAAAGGTTGAAGAGAGTGACAGAAAAGAAGCTAATAGTAATGAAAGTGAAAGGGAGACCAGCAACTTCAAAACTGAAACTGATGGCAAAGTAGATGCTGATGCTAATGATGGGGAGATCGAGAACGAAAACAGCCTTATGATAGTGAATGGAGGAGGCACCTCCCAGAAAGACTTATTGGAAGCCCTCAAGGAAATTGAGGAACATTTCCTTAGGGCTTTTGAGTCTGGTTTGGAAGTTTCAAAGATGTTGGAGGTGAAGAAGTTTCACTTGCAGAAGGGCTGGGAACGCGTTATCGGTGAGAAGTTCTTTTCTTTCAGCTTTTTATTTTTATTCTCCTCTTCATTTCATATTTTGGGTCCTGCATGTGTTGTTTGCTTATCCGCAATTCAGGTCTATTTCTTTCGCTTAATTAGAAACAAAAGTCAGCCGCTTTTGTCTCCTGGGATACAATAATATTAAAATGGGCCCATTTCCTTGGAAAGATTATGTTTTTCTGTGCATTTGCAACATGTTAAACCATAAAACGATCAATTTGGCCCCGATCCACACAAGATAAAAGTTTTAATGTCTCAAAGATGTCTCATTTCTTGAGAAATATCGTTTTATGAAACCCTATTGACTCTACATTGATATACAACTGTTTAACTGCAGCAAAGCCCTCTGCAAATAGTTCATGAATTAATGGGCAGTAAAGTTTACTGTTCACGAATGGAGACCTTTCGCTGTAAAGTTTACTTCTTTTTGAACGAAGTCTTGCAACTTTTTTCTCCTTGTTTCCTGATATGTCGTTGCTCTTCCCTGCCAGTTAACTTAATGTATCCATGTGGGTGCTGCAGGTGGCTCCAGTAACTTCTTCACTTCCATGAGAAGAGGCCGTTCGATTTCGAGTCGCTCTTCTTCATGTTTGAGCATCCTTTCTCCCTCGCGTACAAGAACTTCTGCTTCGTGGGACGAGTTCAGGAGGGAGCCATTTCTTGACGATTATGTTCCAATGCAATCGGGCAGTCATGCTTTCACCTTGTCAAAGTTGTATGCTTGGGAGAAGATACTTTACCAAGATGTTTCGGTAAAATATAATTCCTTCTTATCTTATCTTATCTTATCTTATATTATATTATATTATGTTATGTTATATGATCTTTGCTTTGCCAACTTCATGCAATTTATTACCAATTTTCGTGCTCAGATTGGTGAGAAATGCAGGAAGCGTTTTGACAGGAAATGCTTCAAACTGAGAAACGAGGAAGTTGGAGAAGGACTTTTCAGTGGCGACAGAACAAGAAGTAAAGTGAGAGAATTGCATGCCTCAATATATGTTTCAGTGAGGGGTGCAACTTCAACTTCTGACAAAATTATCAAGGTGAAAGACGAGGAGTTGCACCCTCAAATTGTTGAGCTTCTACAAGGGTAAGAAATTAAATGAATAATAATAAAGTAGATGACAAAACTTTGCTCTAACTTTAAATTTTATAGATGATAAATCTAACGTGTGCATGCAGGTTGAAGAACAACTGCAAGGTTATGTGTGAACTTCACGAAGCTCAAAGCAAAGTGATGTTTGAAGTGGGATCATTCAATTGCCCCAGTTATGGAGGGTTCAGCTACAAATCTAACTGTCATGCCACCCATCTGCTGGAAAAAAGAGTTGAATGTTGGCGTGCATGTTTTTCTGTGTATACTTCTGCTCAGAAGGCTTACCTCGATGCTCTTTCTAAATGGATATCGAAATGCTTTGACATCAAACCAGGGAATCAGGGGACCAATGACCCACCATTGCTAGTAATGGTAAAAGATTGGAAGACTAACTTGGATATGTTGCCACACAAGGAGGTCACAGAGTGCATGAAAAGCTTTGCAAATGATATCAGGAAAGTTTATGTTCAACAAGGCAAGGAGCAAGACCAGATGAGGAAGGTTGTTAGAATGACAGCAAAATTGGATAAGAAGGCTGTAGAACTAAAGAAGCTTGAGGACAAGGTTCTTGGGTCAGAGATCAGTTCTACTAAGGAAGCTGTGCAGTTTAAATTTGACGATGGGTATGAGCGCTTGACAGAAAAGAGAAATTCATTGGCAACGTACAAGAACAGGCTTGAGAAACATAAAGCAAAGCACATATCCGGTGTCCAAAAGACTCAGATGCTCACTTTGCAGCGAATGCAGACAGGTTTCTCGAATGTTTTTGAGTCTTTGGTTAACTTTTCAAAGGCTTCTGCTCAAATGTATGCTGATCTTGCTGCATACAATGGGAATGCCAAAGTAACTGGTGGAACAATGGCAACCCAGCTCAAGTAGAAGAACCAAAGGGGGAGGCTCAGGCTTAAAAGAAATTGAAAAACAGGCGCAATATTAAACTCAAACTGGGCTTTTTCTGGACTTAGTTTAGGTTTCCAGTGTTAAAAGACTTGTCTTTTTAAATGTTCTTAAGCGTTTTAGGTTTCATGAAGTTAAGATTTCAGCTATGATCTTTATTTTGTGGAAACTAATTCTGCTATATATGAATTAAGGAGACATTAAGGAACAAAATATTTCATAAGAGAATGCATGCAAGTTCAAACAAAATATTTATAATCATGTGGTGGTCAAGTTTTAACATCTTCTTCTCTGATTCCTCTCAAATTGTTCTTGTCAACATCAATGCTAATACTATCCATCTCAAAACGCCTCAAGCTTGTGCTTTGAAATGACTGGCTATCCATCTCTATGCGAAACCTTTGAAATCCCACACCATCTATGCTCACAAAGCTTTGAGAATGATCATTGTCAATTGATCTTCGAGACCGCCCTATCGATGATCTTCGAGATTCATTCGAAGTCGAAGTAGACCGCCGTTTGTGGTTGAAGTTTTCACCAGAATGAAGAGCCTCCTCCAATTCTTGCCATACTTGAGTCATTGTAGGACGATCTTTGGGCATTTTCACCACACATCTTAGACCAAGTTCTCCCATTTTTTGCATGATCTCCTTGTTGCATGGCGCAGTTAGAAGATTTGCATCTAAAATCTCTTCTATATTGCCCCTCTCTATGCTAGGCCTTGCCTTCAATTTCATGATAACAATTAAAAAATTGTTATTGAACCATCAAATAGATTCTTAAATCAATAAAATGTCACTAAACTATTTAAGCATGCTTACCCATTCAATGATGTGATAATTAGGTTGAGTTCTGGTTGTGTCAACTGCAGGCCTGGCAGCAATGAGCTGTAGAAGAATAACGCCAAAACTATAAACGTCACTGAAAGGACTCAAATGAAAACTTGAACAATATGCAGGGTCAAGATATCCTGGCGTCCCTTTGATTTGGCTACTGACATGAGATTGATCATCAATTGGTCCCATTTTCACAAGACCAAAATCAGAAACCTTCGCTTCAAATCCCTCTCCTAGTAAAATATTACTTGGTTTTATGTCACGGTGGATTATGCTTGGCTTTATCCCTTCATGCAAATGAGCAATCCCTGTCATCATTTAGGAGCATTTAGTTGACTTACCTCCATTAGAACTAAGTATTTCTCTGGGTTAATTATGTGAAAACACTTGCCTTTAGCTGCTCCAATTGCAATGTTTACTCTTTGCCTCCAGGTTAGGCTTCTGCCTCCTCTCCCTACACTCCACAATTTCAGTGTGTCAAAAAGTTTATTTATTTATTTATTTATTTTTTTTAAGCGGTGTATAGTTGTGCGCATCTCAACTAATCTTTCGAGACTCTAAAAGTGATAGCTAGATAAATTCTCTAGTGGCTACCCCTATACTAAGACCTCTTGAATGATATACTGTGTCAAAAAGTTATGTCTTTCTTTTGTTAAGATGTCAGCTGTGTTGAAGCCTTTTTATGTTTTGTTCTAATTAAACAGAAAAAGATTAGAATTCATTACCCATGATGTAGTCAAGCAGAGAGCCATTTGGTACGTATTCATAAACCAATACTTTTGCTCCTTTCTGTCCTGTTACACAGCAAAAAATTTGACCATTTTGTCAAAGACTGTTTTATGCACAAAGCTTTAAAGGCTCTGCATCTGTGTGAACCCACTGAATTATAAAATGGTTGTTGGCTTACCAGTTTCTTCACAAAACCCCACCAAACCAACGAGGTTCCTGTGCCTTACTTTTGAAAGCAGTCTCACTTCTGTTTTTCAAGAAACCACTAAACAACATAAATAAATTTTAACCTTTCCTTTTTAATTAGTAGTAGAAACAAGCATGAAATAATTAATTACCATTTCTGAATTCTTCAACACTTTGGTATGAACCAGCATGAGCTCTCTTGATTGCTAGAATTCCTTCAGCATCAAATGTCCCTTTGTACACATTTCCAAATGCCCCTGAACCCACTAAACATTCTTCACTAAAATTCTTAGTTGCCCTCTGTAGCTCCTCTAGCTGGAAGCACCTTAACATTAAACTTTCAGCTCTGAGTCCTCCTGAACGATTAAAGATCACCATGTACAATACAACTAATCAGTAAGAGGATATGAGCTATAAATTAATGGTGATTAACAAGCTTAATTAACTCACCTCTTTGAGTCCATTTTCGCCTTAGAAGTGGCAAGAGCTTTCTCCAGAAAAAGAAGAACAACGAGACGCCCAACAAGACTGCAAAAACAGCGATAATAACTCCTCCCAAAATGTATTTATGATGAGAACTATCAGATTGCGGAGCTTCCTCTGGAGAATTGGCTAATGATTGCGAACTGTCTGCCAAAAATCTCTTCGCCATTGTTATCTGAACATTAACAAAAACCAGATAGAATTTTACTTCGCATTCATATCTGGCAGTCTCATCTCATTCTTTACAATTCCCATTTTCACGTTCTCTTTGCATGAAAAACTGAATTTCCTTCATTGAACAGAAGAGAAATACAGACAAAATCAACGATGATAAATAAATTTTGCCGGCAGAACATGAATCCTTTCAACTTAATTTATATATTCGATTAATTAAGAGTCACACTCAATGTCACCAAGGACTTGGTCACAAGCTCGCTCTAGAGCAGCCGGCACATAGGCCAAAACTCCATGCAAAAAAACGCACCGTTTTATGAACAAAATCATGCAGAATTCACAATCAGAACTTGACAAATCCTCTACATCACAAACATTGTTTAAATCCATGTCTTAATCCATGATTCCTGGGCATTAATTAATGGAAATGATGAAAGTAAACAGTATTAATTTATTGTCCTTTCTAGTTTCTTGAAACTAAGTTTTGTAATTAGATAAGGATTTGCCTTAATCTAATGAAATAAGTGAGTGGAAACAATCAAACCAGGCATTGCAGTTGTGTCTTGTTGTGATTGTTTTGGTCTTGCTGTTCACTTAATTGTCAATTTTCATTACTTAATTATTTGATTAATTTTTGGATGTTTCAATTGTGGGTTGTCGTGACGTGAGAGATTCTTTAACAAACAAGAAAATTTAACACATGTACTGTATGTGCCATAACTGATACGAAACAATCTAAAGATGACTGAACTGTAGAAAATAATGATACGATAACCACTACTGAATTATGTCAAGGTTCGGATATTGTATAATATGAAATACCTTTTAGGGTTTTTAATAATTCATTAATATAAAAATAATCCAAAATTTTTTGTTCTTAGGACTGAAACAACCTTTAAATAGTTCTCCCTTAAAAACCTAATCCGAAAAAACAAAGGAAAGGAAAATTAAACAGTCATAAACAACATCAAAACATTCAGAAACTCGTAAAAATAACCCTAAAAATTAGGGGTGTTCAAAAGAACTGGTTGGAATCGGAACCAACGGGTACCCTGGGTTTGGTTCTGGTTCCTACCCAGAACCAATCGTCAATGGGTAGGTTCCGGTTCCGGTTCTAGTTCCTATAGTTAGGAACCAGAATTGGAACCAGGAACCAGGAACCAAGACTAATATAAAATAAAATTAAGTATTAGGGGGGTTAATAAAAACTTTTGTAGAAAAAGTAATGTGAATACATTTTATATTTATATTTCATAACATTTAAAGTAAGTTAGTTTGACTTTTGAGAATCTACCTTTACAAAATAATTGAGTTTGTAATTTTGAATTTATAATTTGTAATTTTATTTTTGTTAACAAGTGTGAGGTGGGGGGTATTTGCAAGTTTTAAGGGTTTTTTTGCCATTTTAAAAACCTTTGGGGGGTCATGTAATGTTACAAGGTACCCAGAACCGAAACTGGAACCGTTGTTACAGGTTCTGGTTCTGGGTACCTAGGAACCAGAACCGTCAGTTCCGGTTCTAGTTCCAAATTTCAAGGAACCGTCAGTTCCGGTTCCGGTTCCTTCAAAAAGTGTAGGATACCCAGAACCGAACACCCCTACTAAAAATCATAAAATACCCAAAAACCCCTCAAAACGACTCCAAAAGGCTAAAAATTGATGATCATCATAATTTAATATGTGTTTTGTTCGTTTGGCCATTTCGGAGTGCTTTGTCAAAAATCATTACCTTCAGACACCATCAACACTATTCGACCCATCGAGTTGCATCAATAACATTATGTTAATTAATTCAATGTTATTTGCCATTAACTAATTAATATATAATTGATGATCGATTGAGGTATTTTTAGACTAAGTCAGGTTTTAGCAAATTATATATGCAAAATCATTTAGAAAATTAGAATTTTAATTCATATATAAACTCAACCCAATAAAAGAATTGCATTAGTGCATGTGTTTTGGTAAACCTAGCAAAACAGGTAATTACTCGCAGGTGGACCCGTACCCGTTAAAATAATATAGGGTACGAGTTTGAAAATTTGGACCCCTTTTTTTCGACCCGTACTTGGCTCTGGCCCTTTTTTTGCGGGTGGGCTGACCCCCAAGTGACTCTTTTTCTCTTTGGAGGAGGAGCCTTGGTTGATTTGCAGTGGATCTACAGTTGTCTGTTGAATTGAAATGAATTTGCAGGAGTTGATTGTGGTTGTGTGATTGTAACAAATGAAAAGTGCAGAAATTGTAAGCTTCTGATTGTAACAAATGAAAACTATAGTGAACAATAACGGATACTTGCAGGTCCACCCAAATCAGCGTAGGGTAGGGTAGGGTAGGGTACGAGTCTAATATTTTTTACATGTTTAGAATCAGTTCTTTTGGACTCGTACCCGTTAGACTCGGCCCACCCGTTTTGCAAGGCCTAGCCAGGTTTTGGAATGTGACTATGAGTTGGGGGATACATATTAAATCTCTCTCTCAATATTTGACTATCCCTATTTGCCATTTAATGTTGGAATGCACAAAGTTTTAGTTTCTCCAAAATTAATTGACATTTAATTGGTAAAAGAAAATCAAACACGTGATAAGGTCACATGATTCTGTTCTCTTTTCCAGTTAAAGAATCCAATTGTTTGTTAGAAAGTAGATGGTCCAGTTGCAACTTCAAGAACCATCGATTAAAAATATATATATATATATATGAAGAGTTTATATATATGTGGTTCAAAGAAAAAGCCTATACTATAAATAAAATATTGGCTGCCCCATTTGAGTATTTGAGTTTGTGGCTTCAAAAATTAGAGTTATTTATTTGGTTTTGTACTAATCATGCAAATACAAAGATGAATTTGAAATATTAGAATTAAATGAGAGTAATTCTAATGGTTTCAAATTATTAAAAACCCTCTAAAATTATTAAGAACCCCTCGAAATTATGAAAAACAGATGAGATTAAAAAAAAAAAAAAAAATTAATGCCTATAAAAGTATAAAATTATTCTTAATATGAGGTATTTAATAGTTTTCGAGAAAATTGTCAGAACGCTGAAAGACTTTTAAATGGGCACATGAAATTAATTAATAAAATGAGAAAAAAAAGATATTGGATAAGTCCTGTGGGGTGTGTCATTTATGGAAAGAGCTAATGGGTATTGTATTTGAGTTTGTGGCTTCAAAAATTAGAGTAAATTCTAGAGTTATTTATTTGGTTTTGTACTAATCATGCAAATACAAAGATGAATTTGAAAAATTAGAATTAAACAAGAGTAAATTCTAATGGTTTTAAATTATTAAAAACCTTCTAAAATTATTAAGAACCCCTCGAAATTATTAAAAACCGATATGAGATTATTAAAAGAAAAAATCCCTATAAAAGTATTATTGATACAGGGTATTTAATAGTTTCAGTAAATTGTTAAAACGTCGTGGGGTGTGTTATTTATATATAATAATTTTCCTTATTGCCACTGTCTACTTCTAAATAATTAATCAATGGAATTGAATTTAGGAGGATGGACAAGTTTACTTACATGAACTGAGGTAGGTGAAGACTGTGGCCTACTAATTTTAATTATTATTTCTTATTTATTTCTTATTGTGAATTAAAAAAAAAAAAAAATTGTTATAGCTATGAGGGGAGTGAATGAAATGAATGAGATAAAGTTGAAGATTCAAAATAGTTTTGAGGATTAAATGTGGAAGATGGAAAGAGCTAATGGGTGTTTGTACTTGATTTGGGACCAATAATTTAGTTTTGTCTCATCTATTCTCCTTCGTTTGTACTTTGTACTACTCACCAATTTACAGCCCCCTCTCTTAGGTGAGACTCAAATTCAGATTCAGAATTTATTTATGGACACTTTTCTTAGAACAGTTTCCGTCCCGTACCCTAAACCCTAAACAATTTCGAGGTCCTTTTAGAATATTTTCTTCGAATAGAGCTTATTAGATCTTATTAAACGAGCACAAATAGGTTTTCCCCGTCCCCCACGAACATACCATTTTTTTTTTTTTAATTTGAACTTCAATCATCGCTAATAAGAATTAACTTATAATTGCTTTGAATTATATGAAGAGTAGTACTTTTGACAATATAAAAAATCCTGCAAACAACTGGGTTAGCTTAGGCAAAGTGTGGAAAGGATCCAGGACTGCTGGCTGTGCTGGACTTTGAATTAAAGACCATTCTACACAAAAATGTGCCATTTGGATGTAACCAGACGCCATCTGGTTCCCTTTCTGAATGTATTATTGCCAGAAATATACAGAAAGTACATAATAATACAGAAAATGTGCAGTGGCAGCATCATAAAGGAGGAGCTACTGCCACTGCCTAATGCTTCCCAGAATTAAATAAAGAGCCTTAACTTGTGCAACAGATAGTTTAAGTGAGTGAATGAGGGAGTACAGTGGGGTTTCGGATTAGTTCCTCTCCTCAATCCAGGTTATGGCCACTTTTTAATAACTGGTATGGTGCCATACTGCCCATGTACCAAATCTATTAATGGCTTGAAAAGAAAGCATACTAATATTTCACACACATTTTCTGGTACCCTCTACATACATTATAAGATTAATCATTAGATAGGTTTCCTTAAGACAATCTAATTGTTGATATCGATCTATACTTTAAAAGTTTACAGTAGCAAGATCATTCACACGGCGAAAAGAGAGTTAAGATTATGAAGAATGAACTTAAAGACGATATTAACTCAAAATTTTTATACATATGGATCATCAAAATCAAATACAGAGATCCTAACTGAGGCATAGTTGAAGTACCACAGAAAAGGCGAGAAGCAGAGGAGTAACCAGCATGTTTGAGAGGGACAAAATACAAGAGTGGGACAAAATACAAGAAACCTAGAGGCGATCATCGTATAAATAATAAAATAATTTTTTTTCTTTTTTTCTACCGAGTAATTTACAAAGAACAGCATTACAGATCCCTTCTGCATAATGGGCATGAAGCATGATTGAGGAGCCACTTATCTATGCAAGGTAGGTGAAACATGTGATGGCAATGAGGCAAACTTCTAACCGTCTCTCCAAGCTGAAAATCCTGCACAAACAAAATGAAATCGTTTCAGTTGGATAGTGTATTCACAGCTGATTGGAATCCTAATAATCAAATTGAAAATAATGGCCAAACCTGAAGGCAAACTGAGCAAGAGACTTTTTCCCCAGAATCGTCTACATTGTTGTCTGTACCAATTGTGATCTTTGGAATCTTGTTAACAGATTCTCCAGTTAATCCTTTTGAGCAGCCGGTGTCAAAGATGTTAGGCATGTCCTCAAAGTTTACTTCAACAGCTCCCATCTGATATACAACAAATTGAAACCATTTACGGATTATAGTGGATCCAGGGAAGCCTAACAATATATCATCAGACTGTAAATTTTGTTGCATAATACCTGACTCTGAACAGCACTGAGCATGGCTGGACCAATTCTTTCGCGCACAAGTCTCCCACTCAGAAGGCTTGCAAGCACATCAATCTGTGCAGTTTGTAACAATGATAGATTGGTTAAATAATATCAATTATAACAGACTTGAAAATGAGTATCCGCAATCATCAAGTTTAGATTTGTGTAACAATCATATTAGCAACAGTAAAGGTATGGACAAATTGGTTACCAAGTACAAGAGACACCCAATTCCAGATTCATCAGACTGCCAAAGAACAAGAGAAGATTCAAAGACTTCAATGGAGAAAACAGCTCCAGAAATGGCTCCAACTGCAGCCCCTCGAACAAATCCACTCTCTGTTTCTTGCCCTATTAAAGCTCCAGTCATGGCCCCCAACAAAGTGCCCACTATATAACACAAAATGTCAAATTCAAATCAAACAAATAAGATCACCCACAATTCTGGACACAGAACGTTCCAAAGAAAACTTTCTTTATACGCAAAAATCATTAGCATAATTAGAAAAATGACATGCTAGTACATCATTGTCTCCATATAAATTTACAATAACCTTATAAAATACGCATAAAGATGAACATAATATCCAAAATTAAAATGGCAGACAGAAACAGAAACAGAAACAGAAGCAGATCAAAGATCAAAACAAACTATCATTTCATTAACACAACCAAATAATGTTGAATAAAACAAGAAGGGCATAAAGAAAAGGCAACCAACCAACCTAATGCAAAGAAGAAAGTGAAGATCGCCGAGAAGATGTTCCCAAGAATGGCGGAAACGGCGAAAGTGCAGAAATCTTTGACTCTTTCAAAGAAATTCCCAAACAAAGACAAAGATGACATAGAGAAACGAGATGGGTATGCATAAAACTCCATTGATTTAGGTTCCTTAATCCAAAGCTTTTTCCTACGCAATAAAAGCAAAGGTGGGTGTTGGTGATCTACAAAAAAATTGAAAGGCTTAATTGGGTTCTTATATATTGAGAAGGTGAGATAGATGGCTTTTGTATTCTTAGTCCCTAAGAGAAAATGAAAAAGAACTGTATCAACTAACTCGCATTTAAAGCTTCCATTTTCTTTTCAGTATAATTCTTTCTTTTTTGGATGAAAGAAAAAGAAAAAGAAAAATCAAAGCTTGATTAATTACTCGGAAAATTCAATTAGACAGAAGAAGATTAAGAGAAGCTTCGTCTGACGATTCTATACGTGTTGTTCAGGGGATATTTATATATGGTCGAATTTGGTATACAGTAGAATAAAGATCTCAACAAGGGTTCCAAAATTCAGCAAACAAAAATAAATAAATAAATAAATAATTTAGGAAGTGATTTGATTTTTGATGGTGATTGGTTAGATGTTGAACAGGTGGTCAAGGTTCGAAGATTTTTTTTTTTTTTTTAAATAAAATTTAATTATTAAAAAATAGTTTTCGTGAAAATATCTAAAGGAGGAGGTGGTTTGAGATACTGGGGGCGCTTTTTCTATTTTGTTATTCCCCTCGGACCCCCTCCTCTTTAAGTCTCAGTTATAGTTGGGCCCTGTCTATCTCTATATTTTTATTTATTGCTTCAATACCCCTATAACTTTATAAAATAACTTATAATTTGTATGCTTCCATCCAATTTTTTTTTTTTTTTTTTTTTTGGAACCGAGGGTATCCGAGCTAGCAGTGGCCACTCTTAATAAAAATCAAAGAGACTCAAACTTAGAAAACCATGTAAACTTAGATCTTACCTACCGAATCATCCAGGCACCCAGTGGTGATTGCTTTCGTCCAAGTTTTCTATTTCTTTTTTTATTTATTTATTGATTAAAATAATTTTTCAACATAAAAAATGTTTTTCAAAAATAAATTTATATTATTTATTGAAATTAAAGAAAAAAAAAACTTGTGAGTAAATAAATAATACATACCCATTCTTGCATTGCCTAGATGATTAGGGCGAATTGGTAGGATAGTGTGAATAAGTGCAAGGTCTCAAGTTCGATTCCCCATCAACCATCTACGATTTAAGTGGGGGGTCGTGACGGTGGATTGTTGCGTTAGTCTCCCCCAAAGATTAGTCAAAGTGCACATTGGTTGACCCGGATATTGCATCTGTTTGAAGAACCTAAAATTTAAAAAAAAAATTATAAATTATTTTTCAAGTTCATTTAAAATGTTGAAATATCAAAATTATTTTATATGCTTTTATAAATTTAATGTAATCTTTTTAATAATTTAAAATTAAAACCTTTTTTCTTTCATTTTTTAATAAAATAACTAATCCAGACAACACTACACTCATAACTGAATCTCATAAACTTTTTCTCACAATTCCGACATGACAACTCGTAATTGGTCAGTTCATAATAAGTTTTGTCTGTCCAACAATGAGTTTTACCTACTCAATTATAAGTTAATTAATTACAGATTATCACATCGTGATTGTGAGATAAAGTCTATAAGATTTGATTGTGAACCATCTTTATTAAACCCTTTATACACTACTTTATTGAACCAATCTTTACAAGCTCTACTAGTATAAGTTTTGTTTAAATAAACCACCCAAACAAACCCTTTACACACTACTTTATTTTAATAAAGAACAAAATTAAATAGATTCCACATTTTCAATCCAACAATTTTATGAATTGAATTTGAAATTAATTTTTAGCTACGACTTTTCTATCTCATACATTGACTATTATTTGGAAGCATATACCATTTTTTTTCCCTTATTCCAATTTTCAACCAAAAACAGGTTCCATGTTCCAACTACGTAATTACTAGAAACGCCAAGTAAGAAAAATAGAGACTTCTAATTTTCTTCTGCTTTTATTGTTTTCTGCTGCCCAAATTTGAGAAAACGAAAGCTCGACCATACAAATATAGGTGACCACTTCAGTGCAATTAATTTATTCATCTAGTCAAACCCAATTTTGCCATTTCTGGAACGCTGTGTTCAGAATTGAATGCATCAATAATTCTAAGTTCTTTGTTTTGTTTTTTTTTTTTTTTTTTTTTTTAAAGACGCTATGTCCAAACGCATACTCTTCGATTAATTTTTATAGGTGTTTATCACAATATCTCATTGTCATAATCATTTACTTATATCTTAGAAGTCAGGAGATTCAAATCTGTCACCGTGCACCTTAACCATATATGTTTACGTTCGTTCTATCACTTGAACTATCAAAGAGTGGGTAACATATAGATCATTGTCATGTAACGTAAATGCCAAACTCACAAATTGATGGAAATTTAATTAGAGAATGGGGAATTTCATGGATTTAAAATAATTTACATTACTGGATTCAACTATGAAATAACTCTTTCACTATATATGTATATATACATCTAGGTAGTCTAGAGTCTAACAGTAAAGACGAATCAAGAAGATTGTACATGGTTTCAATCTATAGTCTCAGGTTCGATTCCTGTTAGGCACAAAGATAGTATCTTTATCCATGATTTATGTGGGAGGCTGCGGCAGTGTGAGACAGTCTAAAACACTATTACCTTATTACGCTATTGCTCAACATTATTTTGCAAACTGGAAACAGGATGAGGTCAAAACATCAAATCAACTTGTAAGTCTAAAATAAGAAACCATTGGAGAAAAATTACCTCAATCTGAGGGAAAATAAACATCTTAATGGATCAATGATGTAGTTTTACTTTCATTTTAAGTTAATTAGGTCAATCAGTGGGCTAGAAAATTCCACTGGATGTTGATCATCTTCTTTCGTCACTGTCTCTTGCCTTCGCGATTATGCAATTTTGGACTTTTCCTTCTAGGAGAGAAATATCTAATCACTCCTACGGTTTTAGTCTACTATCATTGTGGTCCTTTTGTTTTAAATATTAGAAACTCTCCCTGTTTTTAATGTTAAATAAAATTAAAATGACAAAAATACCCCTAACCACTGATATGAAAGATCTATTTATTTAGTGGCTTCACAGTCGGATGGTTTTTTAAGTTGTATATGTTTCCTACTGGATTTGGATTTGATCCACTTGATAGTTAAAGGTTATGAAATTTTCGACGGTTATTATATGGTGGTTTTTTTGTCATTTTATTTTAAACTATCGGATTTCACAAACATTAATCAGTTTTGGGTTGTGAAATTTCAACGTCACTATGTGGTGGTATTTTTGTCATTTTTTTTAAACTATCGGATTTGACAAACATTAGTCAGTTTGAGGAAGAGGGTTTTTTTTTTTTTTTTTTTTTGGTGACCGAAGGTATTCAAGCCAGCGGAGCCTTGAAATTAACGATCGGATAAACCCTCCAGTGGTCATCCCTATTAGTAACCGAAGTGATTCGAACTCAGAACTTCTTGAGTAATACACCAAATAGTCTGTATCTAATCACTCGGCCACTCAGGGGAGGTTTTTTTGAGGAGGAGTTTCCTAATATTAATTTGAAACGGCAAGACTTGAACAGAGTTGACCAAAACCCCAGGGGGAGATATGCAATAATCTACCATCTTTCTAGAGAAAACTGTACGGCTAGCTGCTGAGTCTCCATCATCGTCGTCATACTCGTGCATGCATGCAAAGCTACAGACAGCTAAAATGGTACTATTAATTTGCAGTAGCTTAAATTAAGTTTTGCCTGATAAAACAAGCAATTAATTAATTAAGTAATTCAAGAGTTTACAAGAAAAAGAAAAGATCTTTAGAGCTAACAACCAAAGATTCAAACTGCGCATCTCTCGGAAAATAAATATTCAAGCCTGTGCATGAATGTATATATCTTTAAATTTTTACTCTGTTGTATTATATTAAATTATTTCTTAAGGGTGGTTAAACTATACACTGACCAAGAATACATGATGGTTGAAGATCAACTTATCATTAACGTCACAAGTCAACCACTTGTATTATCCTATGGTTAATTAAGAGCTTAATTAATAGGATTGAAGTACAAACTACAAAGAGATTAAGGGTTTCAACTCTCGATTCGACCAAATTGGTGAGAGAAGCAAAGATGTTGGCTGATCTCAGTGGTTTTGTATCAAAACTGTGGGCTGAATGTCTGAAAGTTGTATAAATATGCAAGGCAAAAAAAACCAAATTTGGTGAGAAGGAAGATACAGAGATCAGCGTTTTGTCTGTATTGTGCTTTGGTATTTGTCATTATCCAATTAAAACTTTTACCCATTGGACAAAGAATGGATAGAATAAAGCCTATAGGCTAATATTTGAGGAAATTTGTTAACGTCATCTAGTAGAGCTTATAGAAACCCTAGAGCCTGTCAGTCTGATAGTTTAGAAGATTTGCTTTCTTCTTCGATTTTATGTTTCTGGGTTCAAACCATTATAAGGTCACCTATCATATCTATTATTTACTTTGAAATATAACCTGTAAGGTGTTTAATATATCTCAGGATTAGTTAAAGTATATGCAAATTAGTTTAGATATCTCGATCATAAAAAAAAAAAAAAAAAAAATTGAGCCTATAGGCTAATATAAAAGCCTGCACTATTAGGTAAGGATTCAACATTGATATTTAAGTTTAACAAATCATTTGTCGAAAAATGATCAAGTGGTAGCGACGCTCACCGACATCTTAGCAAAGGGGTATTTTTGGGACGAAATTTGTCTACATCGTATAGTCATGAAAAAACTAAAGCCTCTTATGATGAATGTATCAAAATGAATCTTGTAATTGGGTTTAAAAGAAAGAAGTTGCTAAAATGTAGGTAGAAGTGAAAAAGATGTATAACCGTGATTCAATAGATAGGGGAGTGATGAGAGCCACAATTTGTGGTAGTCAAGTTTGACTTGGGTTGGCAGGTATTGTAATTTAACTCAAAACGATAATAAAGTTCAATTAATCGTCCTGCTGCTCCGATGAATGGATTGGCTTGCACCGCCGTTGCGTTAAAAATGAGTTGTACATGACGAGGATCGGCTGCGGCTGATGTAGCTTTCAATTCAGACTGGGGTCTGCATGCTTCAACTTTCTCGTGATTCATCT